GGTTGGGGGGGAAGCAAAACAAGAAAACACACAAAAAATCCGGGCGACGTACCCAAAAATGCAATTGTGAGTACCGCAATTGTGAATATCTTCTTCGGTGGCGCTCCCTATGGGGCCACGAAGCGTGTGAGGGGTGTGCCGAAATGGGTGTGCGGGACGCATGCGGGCACACCCACTGGGACCTTCGGTGGAGCACCCTATGGGGCCGCGAAACGTGTGAGGGGTGTGCCGAAATGGGTGTGCGGGACGCATGCGGGCACACCTACTGGGCCCTTCGGTGGAGCCCCCTACGGGGCCACGAAACGTGCGAGGGGTGTGCCGAATTGGGTGTGCGGGACGCATGCGGGCACACCCACTGGGGCCTTCGGTGGAGCTCCCTATGGGACCACGAAACGTGTGAGGGGTCACGAAACGCGTGAGGGGTGTGCCGAAATTGGTGTGCGGGACGCATGCGGGCACACCCACTGGGGCCTTCGGTGGAGCTCCCTATGGGGCCACGAAACGTGTGAAGAGTATGCCGTATGGGTGTGCGGGACGCATGCGGGCACACCCACGGGGACCTTCGGTGGAGCTCCCTACGGGGCCACGAAACGCGTGAGGGGTGTGCCGAAATTGGTGTGCGGGACGCATGCGGGCGGCAGCACTGGGGCCTTCGCTGGAGCTCCCTATGGGGCCACGAAACGTGTGAGGGGTGTGCCGACATGAATGTGCGGGACGCATGCGGGCACACCCGCCGGGGCCTTCGGTGGAGCTCTTTTTGGGGCCACGAAACGTGTGAGGGGTGTGCCGAATTGGGTGTGCGTGACGCATGCGGGCGGCAGCATTGGGGCCTTCGGCGGAGCTCCTTATGGGGCCACGAAGCGTGTGAGGGGTGTGCCGAATTGGGTGTGCGCGACGCATGCGGGCGGCAACACTGGGGCCTTCGGTGGAGCTCCCTATGGGGCCACGAAACGTGTGAGGGGTGTGCCGAATTGGGTGTGCGTGACGCATGCGGGCGGCAGCAGAGTGTGCGTGACGCATGGCGGCACCACTGGGGCCTTCGGCGGAGCTCCCTATGGGGCCACGAAGCGTGTGAGGGGTGCGCCGAATTGGGCGTGCGTGACGCATGCGGGCGGCAGCACTGGGGCCTTCGGCGGAGCTCCCTATGGGGCCACGAAACGTGTGAGGGGTGTGCCGACTTGGGTGTGCGTGACGCATGCGGGCGGCAGCACTGGGGCCTTCGGCGGAGCTCCCTTTGGGGCCACGAAACGTGTGAGGGGTGTGCCGAATTGGGTGTGCGTGACGCATGCGGGCGGCAGCACTTGGGGCCTTCGGTGGAGCTCCCTATGGGACCACGAAACGTGTGAGGGGTCACGAAACGCGTGAGGGGTGTGCCGAAATGGGTGTGAGTGACGCATGCGGGCATACCCACTGGGGCCTTCGGTGGAGTTCCTTATGGGGCCACGAAACGTGTGAAACGTATGCCGAAATGGGTGTGCGGGACGCGCGCGGGCACACCCACTGGGGCCTTCGGCGGAGCTCCCTATGGGGCCACGAAACGTGTGATGGGGTGTGCCGAATTGGGTGTGCGTGACGCATGCGGGCGGCAGCACTGGGGCCTTCGGAGGAGCTCCCTATGGTGCCACGAAACGTGTGAGGGGTGTGCCGAAATGGAGGAGGGAGGAGGGAGGAGGGGGAGGAGGAGCGGGAGCGGGAGCGGGAGCGGGCGCTGCCTCTTCAAAACGGGGACCCACCACCACAGGATGGTTGGGAAAAACATGTTTTGGTGCTCCCCCCCTCAGGCGCCAGCAGCAAGGGAGGGGCGGAAGTCCCACCCCCGCCCCACGTGGTCACGCACCCGAGTCAGCGAGGTTCGCAAAACCGAGTTCCTCACAAAGCGGCCATCGAGAGAGATTCGCACAGCGAGGTTCGCGAACGTGAACAACTGAAAAGCATGAAATTATCCTGGCGAAGGACCCAACCATATGCAATCGTGAGTACCGCAATTGTGAATATCTTCTTCGGTGACGCTCCCTATGGGGCCACGAAACGTGTGAAGAATATGCCGTATGGGTGTGCGGGACGCATGCGGGCACACCCACTGGGACCTTCGGCGGAGCTCCCTATGGGGCCACGAAACGTGTGAGGGGTGTGCCGAAATCGGTGTGCGGGACGCATGCGGGCACACCTACTGGGACCTTCGGTGGAGCTCCCTATGGGGCCACGAAACGTGTGAGGGGTGTGCCGAATTGGGTGTGCGGGACGCATGCGGGCACACCCACTGGGGCCTTCGGTGGAGCTCCCTATGGGACCACGAAACGTGTGAGGGGTCACGAAACGCGTGAGGGGTGTGCCGAAATGGGTGTGCGGGACGCATGCGGGCATACCCACTGGGGCCTTCGGCGGAGCTCCCTATGGGGCCACGAAGCGTGTGAAGAGTATGCCGAAATGGGTGTGCGGGACGCGTGCGGGCACACCCACTGGAACCTTCGGCGGAGCTCCCTATGGGGCCACGAAACGCGTGAGGGGTGTGCCGAAATGGGCGTGCGGGACGCATGCGGGCGGCAGCACTGGGGCCTTCGGCGGAGCTCCTTATGGTGCCACGAAACGTGTGAGGGGTGTGCCGAAATGAATGTGCGGGACGCATGCGGGCACACCCACCGGGGCCTTCGGTGGAGCTCCCTTTGGGGCCACGAAGCGTGTGAGGGTGTGCCGAATTGGGTGTGAGTGACGCATGCGGGCGGCAGCACTAGGGCCTTCGGCGGAGCTCCCTATGGGGCCATGAAGCGTGTGACGGGTGTGCCGAATTGGGTGTGCGGGACGCATGCGGGCGGCAGCACTCGGGCCTTCGGCGGAGCTCCCTATGGGGCCACGAAGCGTGTGAGGGTGTGCCGAATTGGGTGTGCGTGACGCATGCGGGCGGCAGCACTGGGGCCTTCGGTGGAGCTCCCTTTGGGGCCACGAAGCGTGTGAGGGTGTGCCGAATTGGGTGTGAGTGACGCATGCGGGCGGCAGCACTGGGGCCTTCGGCGGAGCTCCCTACGGGGCCACGAACCGTGTGATGGGTGTGCCGAATTGGGCGTGCGCGACGCATGCGGGCGGCAGCACTGGGGCCTTTGGCGGAGCTCCTTATGCGGCCACGACGCGTGTGAGGGGTGTGCCGAGTTGGGTGTGCGTGACGCATGCGGGCGGCAGCACTGGGGCCTTCGGCGGAGCTCCCTATGGGGCCACGACACGTGTCAGGGGTGTGCCGAATTGGGTGTGCGTGACGCATGCGGGCGGCAGCACTGGGGCCTTCGGCGGAGCCCCCTATGGGGCCACGAAACGTGTGAGGGGTCTGGGGCCTTCGGCGGAGCTCCCTATGCGGCCACGACGCGTGTGAGGGGTGTGCCGAGTTGGGTGTGCGTGACGCATGCGGGCGGCAGCACTGGGGCCTTCGGCGGAGCTCCTTATGGGGCCACGAAACGTGTGAGGGGTGTGCCGAGTTGGGTGTGCGTGACGCATGCGGGCGGCAGCACTGGGGCCTTCGGCGGAGCTCCTATGGGGCCACGAAGCGTGTGAGGGTGTGCCGAAATGGGTGTGCGTGACGCATGCGGGCGGCAGCACTGGGGCCTTCGGCGGAGCTCTCTATGGGGCCACGAAACGTGTGAGGGGTGTGCCGAAATGGAGGAGGGAGGAGGGAGGAGGGGGAGGAGGAGCGGGAGCGGGAGCGGGAGCGGGAGCGGGAGCGGGAGCGGGCGCTGTCTTTTCAAAACGAGGACCCAACACCACAGGATGGTTGGGAAAAACTGGAAAAGGAAAAGGGGGTACAGGAAACACAACACACAACCACGCAAGGATGATTTGATGATTTTCGCAGGGGGGCGATTCGGCCCCGAACCCCTGAAAACCCTCTTCTTGTCTTCGGTATTTTTCTCCCCATCCTTCCTCCCTCGCCTCTTTCACCTCCTCATTTCTCCCTTCCAGACGGCGTCTTGGATGAGTCCTGGTGGCTTCTCTGGGGCTTCTGGGAGCCATCTTGTTGGGGTCGGTGAGGTGGTCTCGGGGCCGTCGTGGTTCTGCCGATCTCTCTCGAAGAGGATCGGTTGACCTACCTTTCGGCGGTTTGTCTGGTCTTTTGGCCGCCATGGCGCCCTCCGGGGCCGTCTTCTGGGGATTCTCGGGCAGTCTTGAGGTCGTACAGGTGGGGGGGCTTCATGGGGCTCTCGGAAGCTTTCCCGAGGCCTGTCCCGAGGGCTGCACCCGAAACGCTTTGGAAAGAACAGAGGCAGTTCTTTGTGTTGGCGTGGTTTGCGTTCGGCCAGATCCTGCCTCGCTGAAGGCCTCGCTGAGCGTATCTTAGCGGCTTCGTGTGATCTCTCAGGTTAATATATGAACAGCTGGGGGATGTTTTGGTCGTCTTGGGCTTGCCATCGTGGAACTTGCCATCCTTTCGACCGATCGTCGGTCGTTTTGAAGCCAACTGCCTAGAGGACGGAACTGGCGTTCCTGCGTAGACAGGCGATGCTAGAAGGACTCGCGCGCTGGATGGGGGGGTCGTCCTTAGAACATTGTGTATATATATACATATATAGACATATATAAACATATATATATATATATATATATACAACCCCAGATGAGTAGCAGCATTCCAGCATTCCACGCTGTGCAGGCACGGTGGAGGATGATACATCCTCCTTCCCCTCGTCCCACCCCCCCATCCTGCCACATGTCGGTCTCCCCCGTCACCCCCCTTCACCTCGTCCACAAGTCCCTTCTCTCCCTCCTCTGCCCCTCCCCATTCCCGCCCTCAGCATTTCTGCCCCCCCCTTCCCTCATCGAGGGGACGGCTGACGGTGAGGAGGAGGAGGAGGAAGAGGAGGAGAAGGAGCAGGAGGAACGACGGACGCAAGGAGGCGGAGGGGGTGCAGCGGGGGATGGGGACAGGGATATGGGGGGTGGAGCGGGAGCAGAAACGATAAGAAAAGGAGGGGGAGTCGGCGGATGTGCAGGAGGAGCTCCAGAGCCCGCCGCCACAGGACGACGAGCACGGGGAGCGGATCCGCGCGTGCGGCAAGAAGGCAGCCCGCTCCAGCAGGGGCGGCGTCGTCTGAGAGTTAGGTGGTCTTGCGGGCAGGAGTTGTTAGAGGCCGTGCGGGCAGGAGCCAGAGGCGCAGTGGATATGAGCACACATCCGGTTCCCAGAGGCTGGATGCTTATCCACATGCGCTGCGCATTGGCCCTCTGGCGCCCCTTCCCAGAAAGTCCAAGGCATAGTGGATATGGATGTATGTTTTCCCGCAGGTGGCCCTGCGCGGAGGCGGAAGCGAAGGCCCACGAAGGCGGGCGGAAGCGAAGGTGGACCCCTTGTGAGAGAGGCTAGCGCTGGCACCATCAGGGGATCGAGAGTTGGCCATGCGGTCGCGGGCGGGTGGTTGGGCATCGTTGCTCTTGGGATCGTTCCCTCTCTTCCTCGCCATCGCCCTCGCCATCGTCTTACTGCTCGCCCTCCTTGCCCTCATCTTCGAGCCATGGCGGGCAATGGAATACAGTCCGCTGCTTAATGCCAGCGGTGTGCAACCTTTCTCGCGTCAGCAAGGCCAGCAACGCAGGCAGCCTGTGCCACGACTTTGTTGGCCTGCGTTCACGCGCCAGCAAAGCAGCAACGGGCTAGGGATGTCGCATCTATCGGCGCCGCAAGTCTCGCCCCTCGCGAGCGCACCTCTTGTTGGGAGGAAGTGGTTGCCTACGCTCTGCCTGCTCTCTGTGCTAGTGGGTCCGTGTCCGATCTCCGCCCGCACGTAGCAGTTGGCGCCCCAACGTAACAGTTGGCGGCGCACGTTCTGGCGCAATTGCAGCAGGGCTTGGTAACACAGGTGCCGCAGCTACTCTGGGTTCTTAATAAGCGTGGGGGGGTATCCCTCCGACGGGGGTCAACCTCGCCTCGTCGTCGCGCTGCGACGGGGGTCGGAGCGCCTTCGGCGCGCGGTGGCTGCCCGCGACGGGGGTCCATGTGGGGTTGTCAGCGGGGGTGGCGCCCCCCCGACGCTTATTAAGAAACTCGGGGTAACCAAATCGTGATGTCTTGACATTTGCTCGCGCGCCGCTCTTGCCGCAAGTAGCAGCAGGGTACAGTAGCACAAATGCTTGATAGCGCGGCCAGGGCGAGCCTTTGCGTGGCAGCATTCCTTGTCCCATTCGGGGGTCTTGCCACCACTCGTGGCGCGGCAGCTCCGGTGGCAGCAGTGCGGGCCGCCACAAACAGGAGAAGTCAGGACACATCAAAGTCCGCTCTTCTGTTTCCCTCCGTCTAGGCTCGTCTTCAAGGCAAGTAAGGTCGTCTCATCTCCCTCCTCCTCTTCGCATATTCTTGTAATTTTGGTTAATGGCCTTCGGCCCATTCCGCCACATTGCCTGGCTTGAGGGCCCGGTCAGAGGGCTGGAGGATGTTCGTTGGGATGTCGCGGGGGGCTTCTCGGGTTCTCGGGGGCATCTTTGGGACCGTCTGGAGGCCTTTGGGGAGCTGTTGCGGGACCTCTTGGGGCGTCTGTGGGGCCTGCTGGGGGTCTCTTTCGGGTTTCTTGGGGGCCTCTTGGGGCCTCCTTGGGGCCTCCTGGGGAGGCCTTCTCAGTGCGGGAGACTCGGATTTTCTGTTCGTGTTCCCCCTCCTGGGCTCTTCTTGGGGTTGTTTTTGGACACTCGTGCCGTCTTAGGCGCCTCTGGGGCCGTCTTGGAGCCCTCTTGGGCCGCCTAGGGGCCCTTTAGCTGGCCTGTTCGGCCGTCTTGGGGCGGTCTTGGGGGTCTCTTGGGCCCTCTTGGACCGTCGGCCGTTCAAAAAGTCGAGGGCCCGAACGCAATTGAAACGCCGAAGGGCAATCAACAAGGTTGGCCTCTCGGGACCCTCTTGGCACGGCTGCTTGGGCGCCTCGAAGGCATCTTGGGCCTTCTTGGGGCCATTATGGGCGCCTTGGGTCTGGCGATTCCTGGACACCGTGCACCTGTCTAGACCCGTGGTGGGCGGGACCCTTGCATGCTGGAAAGGAGGAGAACCAACCAAATGTCCCAGAAACGTCTTGAGTCGACCTTCGTCTTGCGTAATAGAAAATGGATCAAAACTGTCTGGGGCAGTTCCTGGCGCGTGATACAGGATGCATGCGTGACCGACCCCAGGGTCGCCTCCCGGACGAAGAGAACCCGTGCGCCTTCATAAACGATCCCAAGCATTCGTTGCATTCAAGTGCATTCCGTTTCGGCGCGTTGCTTACACACCGCATGTTGGATATCTGTGGGTAGGGGAATTGCATTGCGTTGCGTTGCTTCATGCGCAAAAGGTGTGTGCATGCATTGCGTTGCACTGCGTTGGTCGCAGCGTGTATTGCACTGTTGTGTATTGTTGTGCCCTCGCACGTAGCGCGCGTTTAGCAGCCATTTTGGCACAGCTGGCTGGGCCCAGCCCTTGTGTGTGCGTGTGTGTGCCCACCACTGACACTGATCCGTTTGATGCCACTTCCACATGTGCAGTCGGATGTTGATGCTGAGCGTCTGCAGAATGTAAAGCGCGATCGCAAAGGAGACCTTCACAATGCTATACTGGTGGTTGCACAACCTACACTGTTTGACAGCGCGCAGCGTTCTTTCAGTATCCCGTCGCAGATCTGTGCATCGTTTGGTTCGTTTTTCTCTATTGCTGAACAGAACATTTGTATGCCGCCTCCTGTGGTTGGCTCAGTGTTGGGCTGGGCATCTAAACTGAGCGGCAGGGCAACGTTGGACGATCGTGCAGCAGAGCTCGACCAATCACGGAGGACGCTCCAGCGTCACGTGGCTAGTGTTTCTGCGTTGGCTTGGTTGTCAGGCTCAGATCTGCTGTTGACAGCGGACTCGCCCGTGCCTAATGTAGGAACGATCAATTCTGCATTTAGTGGAGCATGCGATTTACGACGAGACACCATTTGTGTTGATGCATCGGGTAAGTAACGATATGTGTGCTGACCCCATCGGCCACTGTGCAGGATAAGATGGCGCGCGTTGGATTGGATGTCAAACATTCAGCAAACAAAAAGCACGACGAATATGTTCTACAGTGGGGGCCGCTGGGCGTTGTTGGTGCAAGTGTCGACGCCAGAAAAGAAAACAGCACAGCGCATGTTCATGACGGGCGAAGAAGCAAGCTGCGCCCAGGCCATCGCCACAACAAGTGCCCAGGGTCAGGCCCAGGCTTTGTTAGAGAACGGAGAGGCGTGAATGAATGATCGGTGCGCGAAGTCTTTCTCTCGCGTGGTAGACTGCGACGGCCGCAGATCGAACCCAGCTTCGGAGCGGCTACTGCGGGCAGCGAGGTCAGAACAATATACTGGGTTGGAGAAGTTCCCAGCGGCCTGCGGCAAGCCCCGCCGTCGAGCCAACCCGGCATTATGGGGGGCGGGCGCGCGCGCGGGCGGGGCCACTGGGGCAGTAGTTGAAGGTCCTTATGGGGCCACGAAGCGTTGCACTTAGCCGGGGGGCGGGGAGGGCCTTCGGTGGATCTCTAGATAAGACCACGAATCATTGCGTTGGGTGGGGGAGTCGCGTGCGGTGGGACCCTCGATGGAGCTCCCATGGGGCAGCGAAGCGCTGTGTTCGGTCGGGGGGGGGGGGGGGGGGGGGGGGGGGGGGGGGGGGCGCGCGCGGACGGCGCCAGCGCGGCCGTCGCTGGGCCTCCCTATGGGGGCACGAGGCGCCGCGTTGGGCGGGGCGGGGGGGGGGGCTAGGACCTAAGGGCGCCCCAATTCGTGCTACAAGGGCACGGTGGCACATATGATCACTGTCTCTCCTCTCCATCCCCGTTTCTCTCTTTCTCTCTCGGGTTTGCAGAAGCTGTGTAGCACTGCCGACTGGGAAGCAGTAGATAAATTGTGGTGGCCGTTGAATTTGAAGCCCTTGCGCAAGGTAGGTTGCTGAGCGACTCATGTTGCTTCCCTTTTCTCTTTCGAGCCCTCCTTTCTTTTCCTGTCGGTCTCAAGGGTGCCGACTGGGGCGAGGCCCACGTCGAGCCTTATTGGCAGGCTGCGGTCCCGCCTCGTCCCAATCGTTGAGGCACGATGACGCAAGGCCTTTGTCGAGTCAAAAGCCCCCCCCCTTCCCGTCGACCGGCTTGAGGCACCCGCCAGCACGCGCGACGGCAGGGCCCAGCCCACCGCCGCCAGCGAAGCGGCGCCAGCCTGCGGCCAGAAGGCCGCCGCGGCCGCCGGGCCCCGCTCGCCTCGAGGGTGGGGTCCGGGATTCGACGACCCAGAGTGGGGGTTCGGGGGTCGAGGCTGGGGCTCGCGGGCGCTTGGGGCACTCTTGGAGCCGCCAGGAGCGTCCTCGTCGCCACGGCCAGGGTTACATCGAAAGCATGGCTGGAAAACTTTCCCGGGAGAGTTCCAAGGGTCGATTCTGCAAGGTCTCCTTGGAGAGAAATTTGTACCGAGGGGAAGGGGCCTCGCGTTTTCCTCAGTTTTCGGCCTCCCGGGCTCCGCGGTCTGTCAACAAAAACGCTTGTAGATGTAAGCCAGTCCTGGGTTCCAGGAAATATCTCCCTTACGGAACACTTCTTGTCATCATTGTTCGTGTCAGTCGTTTTCCAGTTTTGAGCCTCCTCGCCCATCACCCCCATCCGCAGCCTCCTTCCTCGCATGATCGAGCATCGACTACTTATCTGTTGTCTTTGCCTCCAGAGACTTCCGGGGACCTTCGGAAGCTTCTGGGGACTTCAGAGGCCTCCAGGGACCTCCAGATACCTCCAGTAAGCTAATCTTTCCCGCCGCCGCCTCCCACTACTCGTTGTTCTCGTTCTTCCGCCCCCCGCGGTTCGCCCATACTCCTGACCCAGATCCTCCGCCTCCCCTTCTTTTTTGTACCTCGTCAGTATTCAACCCTCTTCTTCCTCTCCCTCCTCCTCGGAGACGCTGGGATTGGAGAACAAGGGCCTTTCGCAAGGATATACAAGAGGCGGTAGATAAGTAAGCTCCTGATCGAGCATGCCTTTCCGGTCGACGTAGGTTTGGAGAAGAGTAGGTCTGAACAGCGGAAGCACGAAAGGGTGTTTGATGGAATGGGGTGGCATACAGTAAATATGCCAATCATGCCGGCGTGGGAAGGCGACGGCCAATTTCCTTAGTTGGCGCACCGCATCCACGGCAATTGCGGCATTGACCTGCGCACGGCAGTTCTGGCCGAAGATCTGAGATGGGTGCGGCAGGCTGTCCTTGCGTCGCTCGGCATGCCGGACCCCCACGCAGAGCCTGGCCCACGGCTGTCTTGTTTCTCAAAGCCTTCGCCGTTGAAGCGAGGCACAGTCAACCAGCATAGTAAGGATGAGCGATGTTCCAAAGTTGCCCTGGAATCCTTGTCCCTTCGGCCCATCCTTGGTAACTTTCGTTGGCCAACCTCGTTCGAAAAACGTGAACATGGCCCTCCAGGGCCCCAGCATCTTTGCCGCGCATCCTCAGTAGACGGGTTGGCTGTAGCGAACGGAAGGCGCTCGCGCCCGCTCCCGCAACTCCGACGACGTGGTGAGAGGGGAACAGACGCGGGCCGCCCGCGGGCTCGAAGAGGCACTTCCGGAACACCTTGGCGCGGCGTTGCGGCCACCATTTTTCTGATTTGTGTGGCGAAACGTTGGCGTAGGATGTTCTTCCGTCCTCGGTCCGACCGTATGTGCTACACTTCGCTCGTTTTCCCCGTTTGGGGCCTCCTGGGAGGCCCTCGTCGCCACCGCTGGATTCGCCTCGAATCCTGGTCAGAACGCACCCCGGGGGAGGTCTGGGGAGTAGCGGTATCGCTGCTTTTTGCTCTCCCCAATGATGCTTGACTGCACACGCCTCCATCCGCGAGGTCGCGCGCCAACTCGTACCGATGTCTATGCAGACCCCTTGCCCGCAGGTGCTCCATGGGTCTTCCTCGACTTCCCTCCTGAGCAGCGCCTGCGCTGCGCAATCCGCAAACGTAGCTGCCTCACTACGCACGTTTTGAGACGCAACACGTTCTGTTCTTAAAACGTCCGCGTCAATACGTCGCGTGTTGGCTCAGCGTATTGGCCCACGTCTTGGCGAACGTACAGCTTCATACCTACGTTGTCAGTCTACGTGTTGAGTTCCTTATCATTGCGTGATGTGTTGCGTGTTGCGTGTTGCGTATCGGGGCAGTTTAGTTGATGGCTCACGCTGACAAGATGCATTTGTGTCGGACTCCCAGCACGCCTGTATATCGCAGGCTCGCAATGCCCAGCCTGTCTCAAGCAGTTTGCTTCCCGCGCTGCGGCCAGTGAGCACCTTGGTCACCGAGCGCCTCGCCGTGCCACTCGGAAGTGTGAACTCACGCCCCTCCCTGCACAACAATTGGGTGGCATCGAGCGGGGCGGCCATGCTCTCGCAAGCAGTCTGCCCACTCGGTCGCCTGTGTGCCAGACCTTCCCACCACTGTGCGGAAGCAGCGTGACCGATCCGCGTTTACCCTCCCACTTGCATCATCTTAGCCGTCGTGTTCTAATGCTGGTATCAGAATACCGATAGCAGTAGTAGCACCTACATAGATCTACACAGGTGAAGATGTACACTTATAAACATACACGCAAGTACGATGTGTGATCTTGTACATGCGTATATACCATAGTGCATACCTCATTATCGCTGCCCTGGTGAAACATTGCTGTGCACTTCCCTTTGTCGAAGAAACCAATGCAAGTTAAACGTAGAGGGAAAAAGGGAGGCGGGGGGAGGGTGGCGGCGCGTTCAGGGGGGAAGCCATGGGCGGCCTGAAGGAGCCCAGGGGACACCCGCCGCCGCCTTTCTCCCTACTTCTCCCCCCCCCTCCCCATGCAGATCTCCGTCGTCATATGTCCAAGACCGTTGCGGGCATTGCCCGTCGTAGTTTTTGTTCTGCCACGTTGTGTAGTTTGATCATTCCCCCCCATCCCCTCCACCCCTGCCCCTCGTCCTTCCCTCCCCCTTCAGCACGCTGGACATTTCCCGCACAAGTGCAAAGATTTGGAAAGACGGCGACGAACGATTGACGAGCTACGAACGGCAGACGAAGAAATCCGAACGAGGAGCGAACGGCGAATTACCTGGCGACGCGCGATGGCAGATGACACCGCGAACGACGCCGCGCGACACGCGGCGCGAGCGACTGACGGCACACGGCACCACAACGACGACAGCCGAGCGCACGCCGAGCGGCGCCGCGCAGAGGCGCCCGCGGACGGCGAGCTTGGCGCGGAGCAGAGACCGTCGCTTCCAGAGAGACCGCCCGGGAGGGGCGGGCCGTGGCGGGCGGGGCCACGGCGGGGGGCGGCGGGGGCGCAGCCCGGCCGCTCACAGGTAGAATGAGAAGAAGGGTGGTGTTCCTCCTTCGCATCCTCCCGTTGCCCCTCCTCCTCCTCCTCCTTCTCCTCCTCCTCCATCTTTGCTGCTCCGCATCCTCTGCTACTGCTCCTCCTGCCGCTGTCAGCTCCGGAGTCTGGGCAGAACGCAGCCGTGCTGCTCCTCCGCCGACTCCTCCTTCTCCTCCTCTGGTGTTTCCGCCGCTTCGTTTTCTGGACTGTCCCAGCGAAGGAAGGCCATCGACCCCTGTTTACGGGGGAGGCGGAATGCAGGCAGACAGGGAAGCGGACGAGGAGGGTGGAGGGGCACCGGGAACAGAATGAGAAGAACCAGGCAGAGGCAATAATAGAAGGAGGAGGAGAAGATAATAGAAGAGAAGAGAGGAGAAGAGAAGAGAAGAGACGAGTCGAGACGAGGCGAGACGAGGCGAGAAAAGAAGAGAAGAGAAGAGACAGCACCCGTGGGCGCGCCTGAGGCGGCCATGAGCGGGGCGAGGCCGACCATGAGTTTATTGACGTTGGTCGAGAGGGCGTCAAGGCTGGTGAGGCTGTGGCCTGGGCCTTCTGAGCTCCGCTGATTGAGCCCTGAGCTCAAAGATAGAGTCAAGCATACTCGGTGACTGTGGCGACTTTGGCTTCGAGGCTTCGAGGCTACGGACGCGCAAGTCTTGCGTGTCGGTGAGGCCCGCAAGCGTGCTGGAGCCGCGCGCGAGGTCCGGGGGCGGGGCAGTGTGAGTGGGCTCGGGGGTAGGTGTGCCGAACTCCGCTGCGTCCTCGTCGCAGTCCCCCTCGATGTGGTGGACGCCCCTCCAGCCGCCGCAGGGGGCGGCGCAGTGGTGGCAGGCTCGAGCTTCGGAAATCTGGTGGGCGGGGGTGGGCGGCCCCCCGGGATCGGAGGGGGGCCCGGAGGGGCCTTGGCGGTGCTTGGCGAAGGCTATAAGCAATGCTGGGCGGTCCGCCATGGCGGGCGCGGCGCGCTGGGTGGTCGGGGCCGCGGCGAGGGGCCCAGGCGCCAGCAGCTCTTGTGGGGCAAGCACGGTCGCCTGAGGCGCAGGCTGGGGAGGCACGGGGTCCTCGGACAGCTGAGCGATAGCCCAGGGCTGGGCGTGCCCTTTGACCTTCAAGGTGGTCGTGGGCGGGGTCGTGTCCGCCCTGAGGAGAGCAGAATTGCTGAATTACTGGCCGTGGCCTCGTCCCAACCCACGTGGTATGCCTCAGTCACCCAGAGGGTGGTCTTGAGGATGTTGAGAATTTGGCCGCGTGTGGCAACTGTTGTGTTAATGCCCGTGATGTGATATGTAGTCGTGGCCAGTGCGGTGGTGGTACCGCGCAGGGCCAAAGAGGCTGCCTTGGCCACGTCAGACTGTGCGGGGACTCGCAGGCCGATGCGGGGGCCCTTTGACCAGGCCTGCGGTGGACCTCGATGCCCTACATCTTGACTGAGTCAGCATAGGCCGTGGCGAAGTTTGGCCAAGGGTCTGGGTGCCAGATGAAGTCGTACTTGTCGGCAGTTTCTGGCGGTGAGGTGCCTCGGGCGATGGGGATATCGAAGGTGACCCCTTGTTGACCAGACTCGCTGAGCACGTCGTGGACGTGGACATGCTTGATCCCGAAGGTGGCCGACAAACTGCGCTTGCCCGCCTGCGTCCCATGGCGGCACAGGGACCTGCAGGGCTCGACAAAGGCAACGTGCGGGAAGACACAAAGTCGACGCCGTGTTGGAGCTCGGCGTCTAGCCAGCCAGCCAGTTTCTTATGGTTTGTCTTGGCTTTGTGGTGTCGCTGCATGGCTCGTTGCTGAGCAGAGCCGTCATCTGTGCCAGGCTTACGCTGCCCGTTCGTCGGTGCGCCGCCTGCGAAAAGCTGGGTAAACAGTTCGGTAAGTGCTCCGTCAGTTGCAGCAGTGGCTTCACCTTCCCAGATGGAACCGCGGATCCACGTGACTTGCAACGCTGAGTCGAGCTCCACTTCCATGGAGTCCTGAGTGCATTGGACCTCGGTGCGCCCAAACTGGTAGATGGTAGTGTCGAGGTGGGTGGGCTGCGGTCGAGTGGACTGTGGTGTCCGCCGGATGACGGGGACCTTCATGGGGTAGCGACCGTGGCCTTGGGCGGCTGCGGCTGAGGCTCGTCGCCCGTGTCGTTTTTGGCGCGGGTGCGCTCGTGGTGCAGACGGGTCCAGGAGACTTTATGGGTGGCGCATAGGCGATGGAGTGCGCGTCGTCGGTCTTCTGTAGAACCACGAGTGTTCCAGACCAGCTCCAGTGCCTCGCCGGCTTTCTGGGCAAGCTCGTCATAGGCGGGCACTATGCGGTCACCGCCGCCTTGGTGGAGAGGCTCGACGTATGCATCTTTCCGCGCGAGTCTGCCCTCGGGGCTGGGCGCTGTGCGTCGAGGGCTTCCAGTCGGCTGAGACGCTGGAGGCTGTGCTGAGGTCGCGCGGCGGAGCGAGCGCGGGGGGGGGGGGGGGGGGGGCATGGCGCACGCCTGCGGCAGGGGTACGGTCGACGCATCAGTTGCGCCCCGGGGGGCGGGAACGCTCTCGCCTCGGGAAGGCTACGTCAAAGGCTCGCGGGCACCCACCCCAGTGCCCTGAGCCGAGACTGAAAGAGGAGAGGAGATGAGAGGGGAGGAGAGGAGAAAGGGGGAGAGACGAGAAGAGAAGAGAAGATAAGTGAAGAGAAGAGGAGACAAGAGTAGAGGAGAGGAGAGGAGAGGAGATACAGAGAAGAGAAGAGGAGAGAAGAGACGATAAGAGCAGGGGGAAGAGAAGGAGCAACATAAGGATCAAGAGACGGAGAAGGAACCTGAGGATGAGGAGCAGACGGCAGGGGGAAGAAGGAGTCATGGGTGGTGGAGGTGGGGGAGGGAGGAGGAGGAGGAGAAGGAGGAGGAGGAGGAGGAGGAGGAGGAGGAGGAGGAGGCCGAGGAGGAGGAGGAGGAGGAGGAGCTGTTGCTACCGGAGTGGGCACATGACCACGGTGAAGGGGGCCCACGGCGCAGCCCAACGGCCAGGGGCACCTATCCCTCCGAAAGGGCGCCACATCCCCCCCCCCCTCCCAGACGTTTCCAGCGGTCGCGTGGCCGATCCCGGCGCTCCAGCCGAGAGCGCCTCGACCCCCCGCGGCTCGCACGCGCCACTCCTTGCGCCTGCGCTGCCGCTCAAGACGTCAGCGTCTCGTCACGTGTTCTGTTTCGCCGCAGCGCGGCAGGGGCGAGCCGCACGCGCGCTCCGGTGGGCCAGGGTCGGGCACGCATTGACTGTCCGGCTGCAGGAGGGGGGGAGTGGGGCCCGAGAGCGGCCAGGCAGGGCGGGAGAGAGGAGGGGGGCACTCACTGCACGAAGACCTCCTTCGGGAGCGTCTCGTCACGCACGCGCTGGTGCCAGCGCCTCTAGCCTCAAGGCACCGCCTGGTGACGATGCTCGCCCCCCCCCCCTCTCGCCCTCACCGGCGAGCACGTCGCTGTTCTTCGCACCTCTCACCACATCGATGGCCTTGCGGGTCTGGGTGCGCATGGCGGCAGGCTCACTTCACGCGCGCGTCGACTGTCGAAGGCATGAGGGAAGACTGTTTGATGCCGTGCCCATACATGACCTTGCAGTCGGCTGCCGTCTCGACCACCACCTCCGCGTCCGTGATGGCTACTGTGCAGTTCACCGTGCTGCCGAAACCGTCCATGCACATACCACATAACCTCAGCCAGCTTGCGCATGTACGATTACACACTTTCTTGCGGGGTCAACATTTATACCACCGCCTTGCTTCTGCCAAGGGCGAGGGATCAAACCCTCGGCTCCTAGAAGGCGAGACCTGCCTTTGGAGCACCCTTCATGGCATCTGGAGGTCCCTGGAGGGAGGCTGCTGAATACCCTACAAGAGGTTGAAGCTCCAATAGTTTTTGGTGCGGAGATCCCTACATGTGCATCTCATGTTCTGGCACTGTCCTCTCTCTGAATGTCTGAGCGTTAGCGAGTCTGAGCCTAAGTCCGACTGAGAGGAGGACACGTCTGGGTGTAAGCATTGTTGCTTGCTGTTCTCAACTCTTGTTGTGAGACGCCGCGGGCGTTTCAATTCACTTTGTTCCCAACCATCCTGTGGTGTTGGGTCCTCGTTTTGAAGAGACGGTGGTCCGCGTCTCCTCCTCCTCCTCTCCTCTCCTCTCCTCTCCTCCTCTCCCTCCTCTCCTCTCCTCTCCTCTCCTCTCCTCTCCTCTCCTCCTCCTCTCCTCCTCCTCCTCCTCCTCCTCTCTCCTCCTCCTCCTCCTCTCCTCCTCTCCCTCCCACCATCATCATCGTCATCACCCATTTCGGCACACCCCTCACACGTTTCGTGGCCCCATAGGGAGCTCCACCGAAGGCCCCATGGCTGCCGTCCGCATGCGTCCCGCACACCCATTTCGGCACACCCCTCACACGTTTCGTGGCCCCACAGGGAGCTCCACCGAAGGCCCCAGTGCTGCCGTCCGCATGCGTCCCGCACACCCATTTCGGCACACCCCTCACACGTTTCGTGGCCCCACAGGGAGCTCCACCGAAGGCCCCAGTGCTGCCGTCCGCATGCGTCCCGCACACCCATTTCGGCACACCCCTCACACGTTTCGTGGCCCCACAGGGAGCTCCACCGAAGGCCCCAGTGCTGCCGTCCGCATGCGTCCCGCACACCCATTTCGGCACACCCCTCACACGTTTCGTGGCCCCATAGGGAGCTCCACCGAAGGCCCCAGTGCTGCCGTCCGCATGCGTCCCGCACACCCATTTCGGCACACCCCTCACACGTTTCGTGGCCCCACAGGGAGCTCCACCGAAGGCCCCAGTGCTGCCGTCCGCATGCGTCCCGCACACCCATTTCGGCACACCCCTCACACGTTTCGTGGCCCCATAGGGAGCTCCACCGAAGGCCCCATGGCTGCCGTCCGCATGCGTCCCGCACAC